CCCCCCCCCCCCCCCCCAAAACATACCCTGTGGTATGGTCCTACACATAATTATTGGTTATATTATCAGAATAGAATTTATTCAACTTATGTCTACTTGAAAAAATTAAATCTTAAATCTTGTTATTGTTAAGGCTACTTTGAGTGGTCAAGTACCAGTTTTGGATGGGCCACAGAAGATACTCATAATGAATGTACCACAGCAGGCCACAAAGGAAACAATCATCAAAATCTGCAGGCATTTTGGACAAGTGCTGGTATGTTACTTATTTTAATGGAACCAACTGGTAGTTGCAAAGGCGCACTTAGGGAGTTTGGCGCCCATGGCACACTTGTGGCTACTGTACTTAACTACTGGCTATTCCCAGAACTAAATATGAACTCCATGTGAAATCTTGTGTACTCTATCTCAACTTACTCTCCTCTTGATCTCACACACTTTACATTCAACACACTTTTTTTTTATTATCCTTTTTCTTTCAGCCAATCACAATAATACCCCTAATGCTTAAAGCTCATGGTGACAAGTTCACCCTAAAAACAGTAATTCTCATACCCCTTGACACCAGCATTGTCAGAAAATCAAAACTCAACATGAGAGTATACAACTGTGTTCCCTCACTATTTGTTTCACTGGTCTCATTTGTATTGTCTATCATGTTCTGGGAGTCTTGCAGTATGTTTTCAAGGTACTTGTTGACAGGGTTCACTTCATCTGTCCTTGCACTCCACCTAGTTTCAGACTCTGTTTTAACAACCACGAGGATGGTATTTTGAAGTTTTTCCCAATGTTATGTTGTAATTGTATTGAAAGGAATGAAAAACACTTTCAAAGAAAGGCATGAAAAACTTGGATCATTTTTTTAGTTATCTTGAATTTGTTATAATTTCATGCATTAAATTTTAATTTAAAAAAAACAAAAAACTTTTTAATTATTCTAGGGTGTGAATTTGATGAGAGACCAGAACAAAGCTGTGGTTCAGTTTCAAAAAGGAGAACAGGCTGCAAAATGTGTCAGCAAATGCGACCAGTGAGTCAATATTTTCATCAATTCAACTTGAGTACAATTGCTATTGGCATGCTTTTTTCTTTTCCATGAAACATCTTTTTCAAAATTTTTGACAGGCTAGAGAAGCTTCGCTTCATAGCAACTTTTAGGCCTGCCTCATTCCAGCAGAAAAATTAGATAACTTAAGCCAAAGACAAGCCTTGCAGAAGGGATAATTCTTTTTGATTGGAAGGATTTACAAATATTTCTATGTTGCCTTCCTAGAAACATTCTACCAGCCAAGAAGCTCTGCATACAATTAAAGCTGCAACTAATGCCTTGATACACACATCTTATTTTCTTTAGGAGCCAAGTTAGATTCTCTTTCTGGCCTCATCAGCTAGTGTGTTAGCCGAATCCTATGTCTGCATGACTTTACCAGACCTGTTTACTTTTACAATTTTGAGCTGTCTTACAATTGTATGCTGATACCGGCCTGAACTACGATTTTAAGAGACCTGGTTAAAAAATATTTTGGAATTTTTTTCAGATTAAAAAAGAAATTATTAAATTTTTGAGTTTTGATGTTTTACCCCTCACTATAAAAATCTGGCAGTGAATGGACAGAAAAAAGATTGGTTGTAATTTTTTTTAAAAGTTGTGACCATCCTTGATTATATCACGTATGCAGTGAAGTGATGTGGGGGCTTTTGATTGAAGAGATTTGGCGAACGGGGCATGGTTATGGAGTGTAAAATGGTATACAAATATCACTTGCAAAGCAGCTGTATCTCCCTAACGATCATCCCCAGTTTGGTATGGCCTCCACCCTTTACAGCTTGCAGTAGTTACTAGACTATATTATGTTAACTCAAAAAAATCAGGTTTCTATTAGATATGGGACGGCACAATTTTTTCCCCTCACTAATGAGGGTAGGGGAAGTTGATCACTGAATAAAATTATTATTCACAGAAAGATGCATGGTGGACTACAGTGTGTTGGAATCTATTTTTAGAAGTCACTAAGCAACTGTACAATTTTAATACCCCAGTTTTGTTTAGTCACTTCTCTTTCCTTCTCCCAATACAGCTTGCAGTAGTTTTACACCACAATATGTTAAAGAAAAAGAAAATTAGGCTCGTAGGGTTAATGAAGGGGTGGGCAACCCGTGGTCCACCAGATCAATAATTGTTATGGCCTGCCGGATGTATCACAAATGAACTTATTTCTTCATTCAAATTGCGATTATTTAAACACACATTGGTAATGTTGTATTTTCTTCTTCTTCTTCTTCTATATCTTAAGGGCCCACGATCAATTTATTGATCATTTTGGCTCCTATGCATGTAGATGGGATTTGCAATGTTTCTGTTACTGGTGGTGATGAGGAAATTATGCACTAGGGGTTTGAAGGCTTGAGGCAATAGACACAAACGTGTCTAGTGTTGTCGCCTCAACTGTTCCTTTTGAAAGATGGTTCCAGTCCCTGATTGTCTTGGGCGTTGGTAATTTAAAAAAATAATTTTTCGTTAGTATTTAAAAAATAATTTTTTTCTTCAAATTTATAAATATTCATGCTTTCTAGTTGAAATCCCGAACAGAAATGCAGCATGGACACATAATTTTTTGTGGACCATATGCACTATTTCGGTGTACCCGCCCACATTTTTGACTGATTTTAAGAAAAAGATTGGAATAAGTAATAAATTATATTCCTGCTTTTGAATTTATAAAAAAAATTATGAGAAGTGGGGCTCAGACTCCTCCCCAAATCCCACCCCCAATTTTGTCCTCAATTTCTTCATCTATCAAAGTGGCAAATGACGGATACATTTTTATTTGCAATAATTCACTGTATATGAATATATAAACATCAATCATCTACTTGAGAGCAGGGACGGGCTGGCCCACGACGACACGAGCATTCGTCATGGGCCTTTTTGGGCAGTTATTACAATCTCCGGTGTGCGGGGGGGCCTCCGGGCCTTTCTTACTACACCGTTCGTCACGGGTTTCCATGTGCCAACACGTCCCTGCTTGAGAGTGACCTTTTTTAGACATGCGATGCAAATAGTTATTGTATTCATTTTACTGTATCTTTATTAATTTACTATTACAGTACAGTATGTTACGATTTTGAGTTGGTAAAGTACTATTCTGAGACTTTATGTACTATTTTGGTAGTTCCAGTGTAACCAGGCCTGCTTTGCTGTAAATCATCCTCATAATGTTGATCTTTCTAGCTATGTCTGCTTGGTCTGAAATCGACTTGAGTGTTACCTTTCTTCTTCCGTCTTGATGATTTCTAATGATGAGTCCTACATCACTGTCTTGAAAGCAGATAGGAATTTAAAAAAGACTAGGAAGTTCGGGACCATGTCATTTTTGGACACACCACAGTGTACTTGTTGCAGTCCACTGTAAATTGTCTAGCTTCACTTCGAAGTTTGTCGTGTTTGCCCAACACGACCCTGCTATTTCCTTGGTTCGTGGCATCCTGATGGCATAGAGCATGTCCAACCATTTTGACTTTGTGGGCCACACAACAACACACACACCCCCCACCCCCCATGACAAGGGCCACACATGACATCTCAAAAGAAATTATAATTTTTTTTTTCTTTTAGAAAATTATAAACATAATTTATTCTCCTTGCTTAAAGAATCTATTTACAATAGCATTATCATCTCATCATGAATATAGATAAAGTGAATAAAACTAGCTCTTCTTTAATGATATATTTTGATTTGAGATTGTCATTGTATTTGCAATTTTCTTATTTTGAGGTTAGGACCTGCCCATATTAGCTTTCCTAAATATTCACCAGTCAAACTGTTATGTTTTTTACTTGATGATAATCATTACAGAGAATAGTTTTTTTTTACTTGATGTTAATCATTATAGAGAATCCAGCTTCACTGACTGTAGGTGCTTCAAGCAACATGGTCAAAATTTGGTTACATTCCCATTATCATCATCATTATTATCATCAATGGCGCTACAGCCCATGTAGGGCTGTGGCCTGCTTCATCACATCCTTCCATTCCAATCAATCCATGGCTTTCCGCCTCCGTCAGGTGGTGTAAATCCTTTTCTGCATCGTCAGTCCATCTCAGTCTAGGTCGACCTGTGAGCCGTCAGCACCTAGGTTTCTGTCTGTAGATCACTTTTGCTGCTCTACAATCCGCCATTCTCTAAGGTGTCCAGCTTTCACTGAGGCAT